CACAGCCGAAGAGTCTGGACAGAGGGGAGCGGACCCGCTGAGGGTGCAGGGCTGTGTGAGTCCAAATCTCTGGAATCTCTGCATTAATTCAGAAATAAAGGACCAAACACCTCCCGCGGCTGAGGCTTGGCCCTTTTCCGAGGGATCGGACTCAGGCTCTGCCAGGACCAGCTGTGTGCCCCCACCCTCCCCACCAGAACCGGGACCGGGCCCCGCGGGGCCTCTGTGGACCCGCCGCTGCCTCCGCGGCTGCTGCTCGCGGACCGAACGCCGCGTCCCGCAGACCCGTCCGGGCCCTCCCGCCGCCGGCGAGCGCCCCGGCTGGGGGCGGGGCGGGGTGCCGTCCGGGGTCTCTGACTCCAAAGGCGACCACGAACCGCACCGCCGGCCCAGCTCCGGTCCGGCCGGCCCGGGTGCACGGGACCGCGGGCGCCCCCCTCCGGCCGCTGGGCCCGGGCCGGGCGCGGGCGGCGCTGATTGGCGGAGCGGCGCCCCGTCCGGGAAGCGGCTCGGGTTTCAGGGGCGGGGCCGGCCGGGGGCGGGGCCTGGAGGGCGGGGCGGGGCGGGGCCAGGTTCGCGGGGCGGGGCGGGGCGGGCGGGGCGGGGCCGGGGCGGGCGGGCGGCGGGGAGCGGGCGCGGGCAGCGCAGAGCCGATCGGCGGGCGAAGGCGGCGGGTGCGGATCCTCGAGCGGCGGGTGCGGAGCGCGGAGCCGGGCGCCGAGGGGTCTGCGCGGCGAGGGCGCCGGCGCTGCGTCTGCTCCGGGCGGCGGGGTCCGTGCTCCCCGGGCCGCTCCGCTCCCCGGCCGCGCTGCGAGCGGAGTTGGGGGCGCCCGCCCTTTCCCCGCCCCCGCCGCCCCGGGCGCGCGTGAAGCCGGAGCCTGGAGGACCCGGACCCGCGCTCCTGCTGGACTTCCCCGGACCCCGTCCCGCCTCCGTCCCGCCCACGGGGCCCAGGACCGGACCGGGCGGAGCGCTGCCATTCAAGGTAATCGCCGCGCGGGCGCCGGAGCCGCGCCAGGGGAGGTGGGCGCGGGGCGCGGGGCCGGGGCACGGGCGCTGGGGTTCGGGGGGCGCTGCCGCCGCCGCCCCCGTCACCCCGCGGGCGCGACCCTCGGACCCGGAGCCGGCGGGGAGGCCGGGCCGCCCGTGGGGGTTCAGCCGCAGGTCCGCGCTCAGAGGGCATCTCCGGTCCCTGGTTCCAAGGCCGGGGGGCGCCTGCCCCGTCCCTCCGGGCCCGGCGGGGTGTGGGGGCTTCCCCGGGAGCCCGGGAGGAGCGGCTGGAGGGGGGCCCTCTGGGCCCGGCGCTTCGGTTCTGCGACTTCGGAGCCGCCGCCCGGGGCCGGGGGCAACTGCGCCTCCGCTCCGCGTCCCAGCGGCGCCCACGGCGCGGGGTCCCCACTGCGCTCCCCCGGCGCCGGCACCACCTCCTGCGGGGTCCGGCCCGGCCACAGGCTGCCCCCTCCCCGCGCCCCGCGCACCCCCTCCCTGCGCCCCCCGGACCCTCCCCGCGCCCCGCGCCCCCCGGACCCTCCCCGCGCCTCGCGCACCCCCTCTCTGCGCCCCCCGGACCCTCCCCGCGCTCCGCGCCCCCCGGACCCTCCCCGCGCCCCGCGCACCCCCTCCCTGCGCCCCCCGGACCCTCCCCGCGCCCTGCGCCCCCCGGACCCTCCCCGCGCCCCGCGCACCTCCTTTCTGCGCCCTCTTCCCGCGCCCTCCGCACCCCTTCCCCGCGTCCCGCGCACCCTCCCCGCGCCCCCCGCGCCCCGCGCCCGCGCCGTCCTCCCCGGGTCGGTCCACCTGCCCTCGGAGCTGACCGCCGTCCACCGGGCCCCGCTCTGCCGGGGAAACCCCAGCATCTCAAACCCCATTGTGCCGGCCCCAAATCCCTCACTCTCTGGCGGCTCATTTTCATGTGAAAAGCCCGGTTAGTGTGAAAGGGCGCAATCAGCGCCTCTCCGCCAGGAATGCCCATTAAAATGCACATTTCTGAGCGGCGCGGGAGCCGGAGAACAGGACCTCCAGGCCCAGGGGGGCCAGAGAGGCTCCCCCGACCCGGTGCCCTCGGTCCCCGGGCTCTGCGTCCCGTCCCGCCCACAGGCGTTAGGGAGTGGGTGGGGGCCCGGCCAGCCCTTGTCTAGTCTTTTTTGAGTTTTCGGGTTTTTTAAGGAATCATCCCACTGCCCCATCCCATGTGACCCCTGGATAGCCACCTCCCCTGCTCAGGGCTGGGCGAAGGGCAGGGCCAGGGAGGCTGGGCCTGGAAACAACTGCCCCCAGGGGGCCTGGCACCCCTCCCCCAGGGAACCCCTCCCCCCGGGCACCCCTCCCCAGGGCATCCCTCCTCCAGGGCACCTCTCCCCAGGGCACCCCTCCCCTGAGCACACCTCCCCCGGGCACCCCTCCCCCAGGCACAGCTCCCCCAGACACCCCTCCCCCGGGCACCCCTCCCCCAGGCACAGCTCCCCCAGACACCCCTCCCCCGGGCACCCCTCCTCCAGGGCACCCCTCCCCCCGGGCACCTCTCCCCCGGGCACGGCTCCCTCTCCTGATAGAAACCTCAGAACAAAGCGCCCTGGGGCTCAGCGCCAGGCGGACGGACGGACGGACAGGGACAGAGCTCCGCGGGGTGGAGCTCCAGAGGGCAGTCCCCGCACCCCTCCCCGCCCCGCGCACCCTCGCCTGCCCGGGGTTCCGGGGGTTGGGGATGTCCTGGTTCCTGGAGGGGCCCATGTAGACCCATAGGGACCACCCCAGCGGTCTCCCTGGCCCCCGGCCTGCCGAGGGCAGGCTTGTGCCGAGGTGGGCGAGGACCAGGAGGCGGGTGGTCACCAGAGCCATCCATCACGGTGACACTCCCGCCCCCGAGAGGGGGTCCCTTTCAAGGGAGATAAACACGGCTTTCACTGTGGCCTGGCTCCAGGAGGATCATGGTGCAGGAGGCAGGAGGCCGATTGTGGCTGCCGCGGCCTGCTAGGCCGTGTTCCCACACCGGGCGGGACCCCTGAGTCCCCTCCGGCCCCCCATTCCCGCGTCCCCTCCGGCGGGGAGCTGAGCAGACCTGCCGCCTCGTCCTCCGCCTCCAGGCTGCGCCCAGTGAGGGGACCAGGGTGGTGGGGGCTGCCGGGCGGCGGCCTGGGCTGCAAGTCGGTTTCTGGTTCAGGCTCGGCGGGTGGCCGGGTGGCCGGGACGGAGCCATGGTCACTGCTCCTTCCCCGCTCAGAGCGAGGAGCCCTCCGGGCCGGTGGCAGGTGAGGGCTGCCAGGTGAGGCCGGGAGCCGCCGGGCCGTCTGCCCGGATCGGAGGCTATGGGGAAGTTGTGGGGCAGAGCATTCCCATGCTTCTCTGAGCGATCGGTGAGGACTATGTGCCTTACCGCCCACGTGTGTGTACACACAGAGACGAATTATCGTTTGAGGCGATTAACGTTAAGAGGAAGGAAAAGGTTGAGGGGAAATCCTGCAAGCTATTTGCAAACACACACACACACAAACACACACACACACGCACGCACTTACGCACGCGCACGCACACACGCACACACACTCACACTTGCTGGGAATGCACGTCTCAGGGCTGTGTCCGGGCGGGTGTTCTCCCGGGTGCGAGCGCCTTCCTCACCGTGTTAGCCTCGGGCCTCGGCCTCGGGAGCCGTTTCTCGGAGGCTGCGCGGGGCGGCCGGCGTGTGGAAGTCCCGTCAGAATGTGAGCCATCGCGTGGGCGTGCCGAGAGCATGGGTGTCGGGGGTTTTATATTAAACCTCAGTTCCTGCTGCCCCCGGCTTATAACACGTGGCTCATTCGTGGTGCACAGAGCCTGGTTGTTGTGATCAGATTTGCTGAGCTCGGTGCCATCGGCCCTGCGCTGGGGGGTCTGGACGTGGGTGAAGTTAAGCTCGGAACACTCCCTCCGCCCAGGATCAGCTGGGAGAACCCAGTGGGAGCTGAGTGCCCCGCACAGACTCTGCTCCGAAATGGCAGCCGGCAGTGAGCCTCCTGCACGCTCTCGGCCCGGCCATGACCGTGACAGCCGCTTCCTTACTGTCATGGTCGTCGTCAGTAACCCCTGCGCCATGCATCCGGGCGCGGGCCGGTGTCACCCGGCGGGGAGGGAAGGCCTTTGCCGAGCCGGGGTGCCCTGGTCCTGGAGATGGGATCTGGCCGTGCCGCGTTGTAGATCCGAGGTGTTGAGTGTGCTGCATCGCGGTTCCTGCCCCGTGAGCGGCCGCGGCGACAGGCTGGGGCCCGCTGCTGCGTCTGAACCCGAGACCTGGCGAGTGCGGATGGGCGGGGGCTTTGGAGCTCCCCCTCGGAGCTGGCGCCGAGGAAATAACTCCCACCACCACCTCCGGGGTCAGCTCTTTCCCCCCAAATATGTTTATCGATGTCAGAGGGGAAGGGAGAGGGGAGAGAGACAGAAGCATCCTGATGAGAGAGAATCACGGACCAGCTGCCTCCTGCACCCCCTGCACCGGGATCCAGCCCGCAGCCCGGGCCTGTGCTCGGACCGGGAATCGAACAGTGACCTCCTGGTTCCCAGGTGGACGCTCAGCCCCTGAGCCGAGCGGGCGCGGCAGGATTCCGTTTTCTCACGCCGCCCGGCCAGGAGCGCTCGGGGCCCGGTCAGGTTCACGGCGTGTTCACCGCGTGCCCCGTTGCCCTGGACGCCAAGGTCACGTGGCTCCTGCTTGCTTTCCCGGGCGGGAGGCGATGCCGGACGGGAGAGGGGCCGTGGCACACAGGTCTGGGGCCGCCCACCTGCCCGGTGCTCCGTCTCCTCAGAGTTCCCCCAGACCGCCCCTGGGGCCGTGCACCTGCCCGGAGGCGCTGGGACCCGGGGCGCGGGGGGGAGGCGTGTGCAGATGCCGGAGGGGCGCAGGGAGACGCACTGACCCCCCCCCTCTCCTCCAGGGGCTGCAGCCCCCGCGGCGGGACCCCTGGTGGCCGTGTCTCCTGAGCCTCAGGCCGAGCGCCGCCGGCCCATGCCGCAGGGCCGGTGAGCAGATGGGACTGCCGTCCACGCGGGGATGCGGACGAGGACGGGGCCCCAGCACCGCGGCCCTGGCCCGCGGCTGCCTCGGCTGCCTGCTGGCGGTCACCATGGCGAACCTGGCGCTGGCCCGGCCCTCCAGTCTGGTCCAGGACACCACGCTGGAGCCGGAAGGTGAGTCGTCATTCTGGGCGCCGGGCGGTGGGGGTTTGTCTGGGGAAGGGGCCCTGGGGCCGAGGTGGCCCAGAACCCCCGTCCACGCCTGCGTCTGAGGCTGGAGCGGCTGTGCCGTTGGCGTCCGGGGTTACGAGAGGTTAAAGACGAGGCTGGAGAGGAATCCGAGGGCGAGGGAGCCGGCTCCTTCCCCGGGTCAGAGGTCAGGGGAGAAGGCACTGGCCCGGCTGCAGGCGCAGAGGTGCGGGCTCTGGTTGGGGGGGGTGGGGACTGGGGGTGTTTGTGCCGGTGGGAGCGGCTGGTGCTCGCCTGCCCCCAGCTCCCAGGAGAGCCGGGCCGGGCCGGGCCCTCGCCGCCTGCCGCACCCAGAGCTCCCGGCCCGGCCTTCTCGCCGGGGGCCTCGCTCCCGACGTGCGGAGCGGCTGCTGGTGGAGCTGCGGTTGGTGGACGGTGCCAGCGTCTGAAACGCTGACGCTTGGTTTTCATTGTCTGCGAGCAGAAGCAGCTCAGCGCAGCCGCAGGGCTGGCCTGGCGGGTTTTCTTAGCCGCGGACGCTCCCGGCACAGCGCCCGTGTCGGTGGGTCTGAGAGCTGAGGCCCCTGGCGCCCGCCCCGGGGAGACCTCCAGGGCGGCAGGGCCGGGGCTGTGCCGGGGCTGCACCGTGGCTGCGTGGCATTGGAAGGCCGGTGAGCACAGGCAGAGGCGGGCTGCTCGGCCGGGCAGGACGGACCCTCTTTGGCGGCAGCGGCCTCACCTCTGCCCGGTGCAGCGTGGCAATCTGTCATCTGCCGGGAATATCGGCCGCCCAGCCGTTTTTCGAGGGGAAATCTGAGAACAGAGCAGCAGATCCTGGCTCTCATCGCCGCCCGATGAACCTGCCTGCGGGAGCCCATCTGCTGCCCTCAGTCTGGGGGCCAGGGCTGGGCCGGGGGGTGGGGGCCTGGGGCCGGCGGCCAGGGGCCTGGGGCCAGCGGCCAGGGGCCTGGGGCCAGGGGTGGGAGGCGGGGGCCGGGGCCGGCGGCCAGGGGGCGGGGGGCAGGAGAGCGGCTGGGGTCAGCCAGGCTCTGGGACAGCCCTGAGCGCCAGGCTGGCCGGGGACGGGACAGGACAGCCGTCTAGGACAGGGCGGGGAGGCTGTGCTCCTGTCCGAGTGGGGTGCTGAGTGAGGCCCCCCACCAGCCCCACATGAGGTGGCAGAGAGAGGGCACACCCCTCTCTGGCATGGAGGCACCGGTGACCCCGAGGGAACAGGTGTGGGGACTGCGGCCTCCAGTCTGGGGGAAGTGACTTTGGTAAGAGTTGGTGTCCCAGCCCTGGCTGGTGGCTCAGGGGATAGAGCGTTGGCCTGTGGACTGAAGGGTCCCGGATTCGATTCTAGTCAAGGGCACATGCAGAGTTCCAGGCTCCATCTCCAGAAGGGGGCCTGCAGGAGGCAGCCAACCAATGATTTCTCTCTCATCATTGATGGCCCGCCTCTCTCTCTCTCTCTCTCTCTCTCTCTCTCTCTCTCTCTCTCTCTGTCTCTGTCTCTGTCTCTCCCCTCTCCCTACCTCTTTGAAATCAATAAAAATATATTAAAAAAAAAAAAAAAAAAGAGTTGGTGTCCCAGGTTGTAGCCAGGACACCCATGGGACCGCCTCCTCATAACACCAGCAGGAATTCAATTCGCAATGGTGATGCTTAAAAATAACCCTGATTTTAGAGCCCGGCTGGCGTGGCTCAGGGACTGAGCATCGACCTAAGAACCAGAAGGTCAGGGTTCGATTCCTGGTCAGGGCACAGGCCTGATTTGTGGGTTCGATCCCTCATAGGGGGCTTGTAGGAGGCAGCTGATAGATGATTCTTGTCACTGATGCTTCTCTCTCCCTCTTCCTTCCCCCCTGAAATCAATAAAAATATATTTGAAAAATAAATAAAAGTTGACTTGGGAACGAGAGAGGAAAACGTCCATTTGTTGTTCCATTGACTCAGCCATTCCTTGTTTGCTTCTTGGATGTGCCCAGCCTGGGGCTCGAACCCGGAACCTGGCTGTGTTGGGATGATGCTCTAACCGGCTGAACTAGCCACCAGCCGTCCAGCGGGGCCGCGCTGATGTGTTTTGAGAGGGCCCGAGAGGCTGCCGGCTGCCGAACGCCAGGCCTGCACGCCTTTAATTCTGCTGATGATTAAATCGGATGCCTCCCTAAGTGCCGGGGTCCCCGGAGTGCGGGGCTCAGCGCACACAGGCCGCGGGCCGGGACTGCCGGCCGGTGCACCCAGCGGCGGGAAGACTGTCCTGCATTAGACCCTCCGGGCAGCGTTACGGGGAGTTTATTCCAACATAAAACGTGAAATGGCCCTGGAGGACGCCTTGTATCGCATTGAATTATTGAAGGAAGTTTATAGAGAGAGTGTGTGTGTGTAATGGCCGTGTGTGTGTGTGTGTGTGTGTGTGTGTGTGTGTACTCGCCGGGAGGAGGAGGGGGGTGGAGGGGAGGCCTGGGCAGGGCCGGGCCCCCGTGGGTCCTGGTGCACCAGTTTGTATCCAGCATGTGCTGTTGGGAGCCGCTTTCCCCACCTGGAACCCGAGGGGGAGGGGAGGTCTGGGAATGCCCTCAAACGGGTCCTGGGCGCCGATGCCCTCTGAGCGCTGGGCTCAGAGTCTGTGCGGCTGTCGGGGTGACAAGGCGTTAAAAAGGAAGCTCTGTAGTGGGAGGGGTGACCCCGCGGACCCTGGGTCTCAGGTTCCCTCTCTGTGTCCGAGGGTTCGGTCCGATGACCTTGGGGCCGTTCCTGAAGGTCGGAGGGCAGGAGCCTCAGAAGCCTTTGGGTGGCCTGCTTCGAAAGGTGCGAGGGCCCTGGCTGGCGAGCTCAGCGTTAGAGCGACGGCCGGAACACCAAGGGGTTGTGGGTTCGATTCCCGGTCAAGGGCTCGCACTGTGGCTGCAGGTTCCATCCCTGGTTGGTGTGCTTGTAGGCAGCAACCATTCCCTCACACCCCCTTTCCTCCCCCCTCCCCTCCCTCCCTCCCTCCCTCCCTCCCTCCCTCCCTCCCTCCCTCCCTCCCTCCCTCCCTCCCTCCCTCCCAAAAAAGGTGGCTGGAGCATAAAGAGCAGTTACGGTATTTTGAAGTTGAAGGATGCCAACCGCACAGGAAGAGTCTGACTGGGGGGGGGGGCTGGCATCTAACCCCCCGCCGCCCCCCCTTCCCGCCCGCCCCGGTCTGCAGGCCGCTGTGTGTGCTTTCGGGGTGTCTGTGCCCCGCTCGTGGGGATGGCCACCGAACGGAGCCCCGAGAAGGGGACCCTGGCAAGGGCTCTGCTTGGGGTCGGGTTACTGGGAAGAAAGCCTGATGGATGAGAAAAGGGTTTTTGACAACTGAGAGCCGGGCTGCTAAGGCAGCTCCCGTTCAGGCCGTGCCGAGTCCGTGCGTGTGTGCATGTGTGCAAGAGTGCGTGTGTGGCGTGTGTATGCGTGTGCGTGCGTGCATGTGTGTGTGCGCACGTGTTTGTTAGACACTGACCCCGTCCGAGTGTGCGTCCCTGCCCGTGCGGCCCCGGGTGCTGGGCCGTGGCTGTGGCCGCAGGACCGTCGCCATGACCTCTGTTGCACAAGGAGGCTTATCTCGGAGCCTGCGGCTGGTCACTGGAGCTCGGTTTCGGTAACGCTGTGGCCTCGGCCAGAGCGAACGGCGTCCAGGGACGAGCGTGACGAGGTTCCCGGCAGGAGCCGGCCGGCCGGCCGGAGGGGCCTCTCCTCCTCGGCTCCCGGCGCGGCCCCGGGCGGCCTCCACGAAGGAAGGCCGGATGCCGTATCCCGGCTTAACACGCAGAGTCTGGTCCTGGGCCGAGGCGGACGGAGGGTCTCCGTGCCGGCCGGCCGCGAGGATGGTCTCAGTGTCCGAGGACAGTCAGGCCGATGACCCGGGGAGGAGGCGGCTCTTGCTTTCACGTTCCTCCTGAGGCTGCGCCTCGTGGGGTGATGAAGCCGCTGCTGACATTGATGCCATCGCTGTTTACACCAGCCCAGTGCGGAGGCAAGGGCTTTCCAGCCCCAAACCTTCAATTACTTCCCACCCGCCCCCAGTGGGACGCGGGAAGGCAGAGGCCCAGGCGAGAGCCGCGTGAGTGTGTCTGGTGTGTGTGTGTGTGGTGTGTGTGTGTGTGGTGTGTGCGTGTGTGTGTGTCTGGTGTGTGTGCGCGCACGTGTGTGTGTTGTGTGTGTGTGTGTCTGGTGTGTGTGTGCGCACGTGTGTGTGTTGTGTGTGTGTCTGGTGTGTGTGTGCGCACGTGTGTGTGTGTTGTTTGTGTGTCTGGTATGTGTGTGTGGTGTGTGTGTCTGGTGTGTGCATTTTGTGTGTGTATGTGTAAGTGTGCATACGCGCTCGTATGTGTGTTGTGTGTATGCATGTGCACGCGTGTGTGTCTGGTGTGTGTACGTGTGTGTTGTGTGTGTATGTTGTGTGTGTGGTGTGTGTATGTGTGTATGTCGTGTGTGTTGTGTGTGTATGCGTGTGCGTGTGTCTGGTATGTGTATGTGTGTGTGTTGTGTGTGTATGTGTGTGCGTGCGTGTGTTTGGTGTGTGTGCATGTGTATGTGCGTGTGTATGTTGTGCGTGTATGTGTGTGTTGTGTGTGTATGTGTGTATGTGTGTATGTATGTGTATGTGTGTATGTGTGTATGTTGTGTGTGTTGTGTGTGTATGTTTGTGCGCGTGCGTGTGTATGTGTGCGTGTGTGCGTGTGTGTATGTGTGTGTGTTGTGTGTGTATGTATGTGTGTGTTGTGTGTGCACGTGTGTGTGAGTGTGTGTGTGTGTGTGTTGTGTGTGTCTGGTGTGTGTGTGTGTGCGTGTGTGTATGTGTGCGCGCGCGTGTGTGTATGTTGTGTGTGTTGTGTGTGTTGTGTGTGTGTTGTGTGTGTGTGTTGTGTGTGTGTTGTGTGTGTGTCTGGTGTGTGCATGTGTGTATGTGTGTGTTGTGTGTGTATGTTGTGTATGTATGTATGTGTGTATGTGTGTTG